CCTCCCACAGAACGCTAAGAGCTCAGTTCAGCCACGTTCCTTGCCACCTGGTAACAAGGGCCGCATTCCTCCAGGTCCCAACGGCCTGTTCCCCACTTCCTCTGAGACCTCACCAGAAGGGCCTCCAATGTCCACACGTCTCCAACGTTCTGCTCACGGTGACTCAGGCGTTCCCGAAAGTGACAGACGCTCTCTCTCCGGCTCACCTCTCTTCTGAGCCGTCACCGGAATCGCCTCAACATCCGGGTTCCTACCAACAATTCCCTCAACACCCTCGAAGCTTTATCCAGCAGGTGCCTGAATGCTGCTCCAGCCTCTGCCTTCACCCAGGTCCAAGGCCACTTCCACATTTTTAGGCATCTCTTTGGCAGCCACTTCTCGGTGCCAGACCCTGTCTTAGTTGCCTCCGGTTGCCATATAGAATACCATAAACTGGGTGACTTATAAAACACAGAAATCTATTTTCTCATAGTTCTGTAGACTTGATGTCCAAGATCAAGGTTCCTGCCCATGCAGTGTCTGGTGAGGGCTCTCTGTGGCTTGCAGACAGCTGCCCTGTATAGTTTCAGCTACTTGAAAGGCTGAGGCAGAAGGATCACCTGAGCCCAGCAGTTTGAGGCTGTGGTGGCCACGAGCATGCCACTGCACTCCAGTCTAGGTGACAAAGTGAGACTCCATCTCAAAAAAAAAAAAAAGAACAAAAAGACCCCCCCCAAAACATTAATCCCATCAGATCAGTGCCCCTCTAACTTCCTTAGATTAGAGGCCTAATCTCCAAATACAGCCATAAAGGGGGTTAGGCCTTCAGTATATGAAATTGAGAGGGGACACAAAGCATCCGCCTATAACCGATATTGCAAACTTATTCTCCAGAGTTGCAAACATCAGAATCCCGCAAGTTTCCGTGGTAAGTAAAAGTGCTTACACTGGTGTCAGCGACAGGCTGAGGTGTCGGCAGCTGCACCGCATATCTCCAAATATGAGCAGTCTGATCTCCAGAAGCTGAAGAGAAAAATCGGGGAAATTACCCAACATACACACCAAGCATAAAATTTGCTCTTTGCTATGCTCTGGCTAAACAGCAGCAGTTTGACCTTTCTAACAGCGATCATCTTGTGAAATGAACATACTTTATTTAAAGAGCTCTTTTCTGAGGTTGCATAATGCTATTGAGAAAAGAGTAAATGTGCAAAACTAAGATAGCGATTACTTATAAAATATATTTCTACTTTCATTTTAGGGCAGAAAGTTACTGAGATCCAGAGAAAATTGATAAATAGCAGATCATATTCTCCATCTATGTAAAATCTAAGTAAACTGAAGTCCTGTCATACCCTAACTTATAACTATATAGATCCTGGCCAGGCACAGTGGCTCACACCTGTAATCCCAGCACTCCAGGAGGCCAAGGTGGGAGGACTGCTTGAGACCAAGAGTCCAAGCCAAGCCAAGCCTAGGCAACACAGCAAGACTAAAAATCAAAAAACTACACGCCTGTAATCCCAGTTATTCAGGAGGCTGAGGTGGAAGGACCACCTGAGCCCAGGAGGTCAAGGCTTCAGAGAGCTGTAATCATGCCACTGCACTCCAGCATGAACAACAGAGAGAGGCCCTGACTCAAAATAATTAAACGAACTATACAGATCCTGAACTGTTTTGGGAAAGTAATAGGCATCTTGATGCATTTAACATTGATAGGTCCTTACAACACGCCAGGCACCTATGAGCACTACTTATTCTTGCTGTTCCCCCTTCCTGTCTTCAGCAGCCAAAGTTGGCAAGGAAATGCTTTGATTCAGGAACGGAAAGACAAAAGACAGTTCCACAGGGCATGGGACAGGCCTCAGATGCACCAGAACGGTCACGTCTCTCCCACACAAAGGCAGGCTGCTTCTGCCTTCTCTCACTGTTGCGTAATGTCCCCAAACAAGCTACTTTGTGCTGATAGCAGTACACTTTTTTATCTCACAAAAGAATTTACTGCTCTGAGTTGCCAATTTCTCTTCGAATCACCATCATATCCAAATCCCAGTCTGACTTTCTATCCACCCGCACTAGCTTACCTGTCTCAAAGATTCTATCAGTTCCTTTATAAGATGTCTCTTGGTGTCACCACCCCCCACTCCTTCTAGCCCTTTGGTTTGAATCTGGACACATCTAACCGCCACTGGTCCCCTTGCCTGCTTCCCCTTTCCAATCATACACTCACCATCAATGCAATATGGTTTCAACTCCTTGCCTAGCTTGGTCTTCAAATATTTATTAAGGTACAATCAGCTGCTATGGTCTGGGCCTGGTAACATAACTCTGAATCTCTCTCCCACCTTCTGTCACAGGTAAAACTGATATAGCTGCACCCATGCATGGGAATTATCTTGCTTGGGCTCCTTGCTCAAACAACTCCACCTGCACAAAACACCAGCCACGTCAACTTTTGTGTTCTATCCCCAGGTCAGCAATATCTGGTCTCTGGGCCAAATCCAGACAGTCACTCGCTTTTGTGAATAAAGTTGCTGAGAACACGGCCACGCCCCTCACCTACGAGTTGTCTCTGTAGCTTTCATGTCGCAACAGCAGAACTGAATGCTTAAGACAGAAGCCATATGTCCCACAGGATGAAAATATCCACTCTCTGGTCCTTTACAGAAAAAGTTTGCTGACCTCTGGCCTACTGAAAGCCTACACATACCTTTCAAGATTATCAGCAGTATCCCTAAAATATTACAGGGCTACAGGTGTCTGACGATTTTATAGGAAAGACCTCAGGACAATAAGGCTACTCTCTAAAAGCAATAAACAAAAGTACATTTTAAAAACTACTATTTGAAATTAGGACAAATCTAAGTTTTCAAAGCTTAGATAAATTATCTAGAAAGGAATAAAAATGATGTCTCTGGCAAACTGCCGGGTCTCAAGTATGATTTTCCTCATTTCTTTATTTCGGTGGCTTACAGTATTAGGAAACACAGTAGTAACCACAGGACTTCAAGGAACCATGTTGCAGTAAACTGTGAATCATGCAACAATGATAAAATGCTTTATGAAAAAAACTTCAAGCCAGGTGCAGTGGCTCACGTCTGTAATCCCAGCACTTTGGGAGGTGGCGGTGAGAGGATAGCCTGAGCCCAGGGGTCCGAGACCAGCCTAGGAAACTTGGCTAGATCTTGTCTCTACAATTAAAAAAAAAAAAATTAGCTGGGTATGGTGCCATGTGCCTGTGGTTCCAGCTATTGAAGGCTAAGGCCGAAGGATCACCTGAGCCCAGCAGGCTGAGGCTGCGGTGGCCGTGAGCATGCCATTGCATTCCAGCAAAGGCTACAGAGTAAGACTCCTACTCAAAAAAAAGTAAAATATTAAAAAAAAAAAAAAACTTCAAGAAGATGATGAATTGATTTAAATCTCACAAGAAGCCAGGATCAGTGGCTCAGCCTGTAATTCCAACACTTTGGAAGGCCGAGGCGAGTGGACTGCCTGAGCCTGTGGGTTCGAGACCCACCCGGGGAACTTGGCGAGACCTCGTATCTACAATCAATCAAAAATTAGCCAGGCATGGCAGCGCACGCCTGTAGTTCCGGCTACTTGGAAGGCTGGAGCGAATCGCCAGAGCCCAGCAGGTAGAGGCTGCGGTGGCTGGAAGCATGCCACTGCACTCCAGTCTGGGCGACAGAGTGAGACTTCAACTCAAAAAAAAAAAAAAAACCTCAGAAGAAATTCAAGTTGATCTAATTGGTTATCCACTATTGATTTGTAAAAGTATTACTCAATATGTTTTCCTTTATTCATTTCTCATTTTATTCATAAAATATCTACTAACAATTGTCTAACTTTCATAAAAGTCATGGATTATTCTGATGCTACTGATAATAATATTTGTGGTAAGACTGTCAATCATTTTGTTCAATAAAGAAAAAAAAAATCAACATACCGGTGAGAGCCAACTGCTCTGAGGGATGAAATTTTATAGAATTTACTGCAAAATAAAAATATGATAAAGACAAGTTTAAAGTGACAATAGCATGGTATCAGTATTTATTAGCTACAAGCATTTATTTCAAAGTTAAAATTTTTAAATTATGACAGTTCAATACCGTATCTCCCACCCAATTATACTATAAATAAATACACAAGTTAGAGAAGAGGCACAACATAAAAATAAGGTATAAACTTCCAAACTGCTGTATTAGAGGACACAGGAAAAGGATATTAATAATCTATTTCTTCCTAAAGACAAGGATGTCATGTAGAGCTAAAAATAAATCAGGATAAAAAGGAAAACATAACCATGACAGCAGGTGAAGGCAGATTATGGTGACTTCATGCTGCCCACCCGTTAGGCCACAGTCCCACCCTGTCCTCTTCCACTGTTCACAGAACCCAATCCGCTGAGCAGCAAGTAGAGGCCCCTGGACCTCAGAGAGGACAACCCTCCGCCAGTCTCAGGGAGTGAAGCGGCACTGGGTTAAGCCAGGTGTGACATCCTCCCGTTCTCCTACCCCAACGTGTCAATGAGACAAAGGGGGCTCTGGCAGATCTTCTGAGGACGCTCTCCTTCTCTTGTCAAAGGAGCCAGAGCAAGAGAGGGTCCCAACCCTCGTCCTCCCCTTCCTCCTGCCCAGAATGCAGGCAACGCTTAGTGTGTAGGCCGCAAGACGCAGGCGTCGGCACACACGCCAGCACACTGAGGACAGAGCCCTGCTCATCGGGACCGTCCAGGAACTCCGCTGACCCCGAGCCCACTGCCCCCACCTCGGACTCTGCTGAAGCAAAGGACAGGCCTTGGAAGAGGTCAGTCTGACACAAGAGGGGACTCCGGTCACTCTGGGGAAGCCAAAATCTCACTGCCAGCCCTTGTAAAAAAAACCATGTTCCTAACACAGAATGCAGAATAAATTTTACCAAATCTGAATCAGTGATCGCTTTTTAGGAAATTTCGTTAGCTACACCATTAGAATTATATTTTTCTAAGGAACTAGGTAAAAAATGCTAGAAGTTTTTTTTGTTGTTGTTAACACTAAAATACAAATAACTGTAGGAAAAGCTGGTGAAAACTGTGCACAACTCCTAAAAAATAAGCTTAAGCAATGAATAATGCAAAAAATAAACTATCACTACAACTACTAATAAGAGTATTAATGCTTCTAATTTCAATGAGAAATTTTGGTTAGACCAGTATCAATTTTTACTTTATTATGTCTACCTCAGTCTTCAGCAGATCACTAACAAAGCTAGGTGTGTTAACACCATTTCTCTCAGGGCAACTGTGAGGGGGGGACGGAGGGAGGCACACCAAGTGCATGGCTGAGACATGGCACACAGCAGGCCCTTGGTGGCAAGTAACTGTAGAGACAGTTATTGTTAGCAAGCTTCCAGACATAATAACGTGAAAGTTGATCACTGATCTTACCAAGATAGTCATAGGACTGTGTTGGGAGCAGGAAAAAAACCACATCCAGCATAAAGAGACAAGAGTACCAGGCACTGGAGAGCTGGGTCACCTTCCCCAGAGGCCTGTCAACGTGGCTGGAACAGGAAGTCAGATTCAGCGCAGTGAGCACATAATCGCAAGGTGTCCCTGAGGGGCCTGGGCACAGCAGACACAGCAAGAGCAACGGGGAGGCCAGCCATGACTATCATTCATCCCAAGTGCCAAAGATTCTGGCTCTTTAAATCATGTGCATGTTTCATAAAAACATAAGCCTAAATAGCCAGGTGTGGTGGCACACGCCTGTAGTCCCAGCTAAGGCAGGAGTATCACTTGAACCCAGGAGTTTGAGGCTGTGGTGAGCCGCAATAGTGCCACTGTACTCCAGCCTGGATAACAGAATGAGACCCTGACTTAAAAAAAAATTTAAGCAGAAATAATCTAAAAGGAGGACCAAGATCTCTAACATCAGCACTCTACTCACCTTTGAGAGAACCAGACACAACAATGCTGCAATCCTGCACACTGGTTTGGAGTCAGAGGAGACAAACTGCATTTGGGTGTTTTGTTCACAAGATTTCAGGAGACAGAGCTAGTGACACAGGGTCAAGAGCATCTCCCTATCAAAAAACTAGTCGGGCGTGGTAGTGCACACCTATGGTCCTAGCTACTTGAGAGGCTGAAGTGGAAGGATCACCTGGACCCAGGGGGTCGAGGCTGTGGTGAGCCATGATTGTGCCACTTCACTCCAGCCTGGGCCACAGAGTGAGATCCTGACTCAAAAAAAAGTCATCTCTTTGTTGAGCTATACTGACTAAAACTCCCATCAGTTTAACCACTCCTCCCTTCTGTTTAAATAAACTTGGCCAGCAAGCAAAAGACGCCCTAGTAGGAAGAGGAAATGGAAGCCCTCCGTGGGAAAATCAGGGACAGCAACAACACAGACACAGAGCTAGAACACAAGCATCTCTTCACCCTCTCCTGAAGAAGTCCTCACAGAAACTGGTCCAAACCCACAAAGAATGAACTATAGAGACAAGCGAAGAGACAGCCACCAAACACTGGAGGCCACAAGAGCCAATGGGGGCTGGTGAGCGAGAGGACACAGAAAAGTTGAAATTAACTTCAAAGAAGAGTGGAGAGCTAGTAAGAAACAAAGCAAGCTCCAGAGCAGGAGAGACATACCCCTGCCAGGAGGAAGTAGCCCGCGCTAGACTCATCCCACTCCCCTACTGGGACCAATCATAAAAGCCTGAGATGAGTGTCGAAAAATAAAAAAGAAGCTTCTGAAGTCACAGTGGGGCCCGGAGGCCCAGACAGCAGCACAGGGCGAGCCCACCGCTTCACGCATTCCCTCCAGGCACAGAGACTAGGCAGGAGTGAGGGTGCAGCCTGGAGCCACAAAGCAACAGTGGGAGTTGGGGCTGAGCCCTCAGGAGGGACAGCCCCAAAAGAGGGGCCAACTATTCGGAGCCTGGGCACGGCCAGCACCTGTAGTGGGTGCACAGGGCAGGGGGCCAGAAACCAACAGAAAGCAGTTTCTGATATCTAACTCTGGGAGTAATGGCACACAATTTAAAGTTCAAGACCTGTGCAGAAACACACTAGGAACGAGGAAAAACAAGAGGTACGCAAGCGCTCCTAACCCGGAAACCCACCGTAACCACCAATTCCTACTGAAATCAAGGCCAGCCGTCCACACTCCTCCTGCTAGCCAGGGAAAACCCCATCCTCCCTAGAGAACAGCGGTGATGTATGTGCACATTTATGCATGTGTGTGATTGATGGTGCACCTTGTTTTACTGCACTTTCTCCTGCTCTGTAGGAACTGCATGCTTTATAAACTGAAAGCATGTTGAAGAGGTTAGTTACTGCGTCAAGCACTAACGAGCACCATTTCTCCGACAACCCACACTCACTTCATGTCTCTGGGTCACATTTTGGTAATTCTCCCGATATTTCAAACTTTTTCGTTATTATATTTGTTATGGTGACCTGTGATCAGTGACCTTTGATGTTAACATTGTCAGCTTTGGGATGCTGCAAGTCACGCCCAAATAAGACAACAAGCAATCAATAAATGTGTGTGTTCTGACTGCCCCACTGACCAGCCTTTCCCGGTTCTCCCCCTCTCCTCAGGTCTTCCTATCCTCCAAGACACAATATTGGCTTAGGCCAGCTGATGACCCTACAATGGCCTCTAAGTGTTATAGGGAAAGAAGGAAGACTCACATGTCTTTCGTTTTCAATCAAAAGTTACAAATGATTAAGCTTAGTGAGGAAGACTTGTCAAAAGCCAAAACAAGTTGAAAGCTAGGCTTCTTAGGCCAGTTAGCCAATATGTGAACACAAAGGAAAAGTTCTTTGAGGAAATCAAAAGTGCTCCTCTAGTGAACGCACAAAGGATAAGAAAGCAAAACAGCTTTACTGCCGACTTGGAAAAACTTTTAGTGATTTGGATGGAAGACCAAACCAGCCATACCATTCCCGTAAGCCAAAGCCTAATCCAGACAAAGACCCGAACTCTCTTCAATCCTGTGAAGGCTGAGAGAGCTGAGGAAGCTGCAGAAGAAAGCTGGAAGCTGCAGAAGAAAGCTGGAAGCTGGCAGAGGCTGGTTCATGGGGTGGAAGGAAAGACGCCTCTGCACAGCATCAGAGTGAAGGATCAAGTGCTGATGCCCTGGAAACAGCTAGAGAACTAAAGACTGCCAGACATCCCAACTTCCAGCAACCATCAAACTGATGGGGATCCAGCAGCCATCAACATCAAGGCGAGACCCCCTCACCAGCCAAGCGAGCACCCTGCTGAAGGCTCAGGTGACTTTTTAGCATTTTTAAGCAACAAAGTATGTTTCCATTAAGGCATGTACAGTTGACTCTTGAACAACATAGGTGTAAACTAAGCAGGTACACTCACATGTGGATTTTCTTCCACCTCCACCATCCCAGGTGCAGCAAGACCAAACCCCACCCCCACCCCACCAGCCCACTCAGTGTGAATACAGCAAGGATGAAGGTCTGATGACCCACACCCACTAAATGAACAGTAAATGTATTTTCTCTTTCTCATGACTTTCTGACTAACATTTCCTCTTCTCTGCCTTACTTTTATTGTAAGGATATGATATATAATCCAGATAACATATAAAACATGTGTTAATCGACTGCGGACGTCATTAGTAAAACTTCCAGTGAGCAGGAGGCTATCAGTAGGTAAGATTTTGAGGATTCAAAAGTCAAACAAATTCTGTACTGTGGAGAGGTGGGGTCAGTGCCTCTAAACCCCACATTGCTCAAAGGTCAACTGCACATCAGGTTTTTAGAATAATACACTTGCACTTTAATATAGTGTAAACATAACCTTATATGCATTAGGAAATCTAAAAATTAGCTTTACTGCAAAACTTGTTTTACTGTGGTGGTCTAGAAACGAACCCGTAATGTCTCCTGTCTCTACCTATATAAATGCCACAGAGTTCACAGGAAAGCTGTGAGATGGCACCATACCACAATGGAACAACACAAGAACCTGAATGATTCGCAGTCAACATCTTCATCTTGGAGGCAGTTACTCAGGTGTTGGCATTTTGTGGTACAAATTCACACTGCTTGCTTATAATAAAAAGCTCAGCAGGTAAAAAAGAATGAGGGGTCCCAGGTGCCCCAAAGCAGGGGTAAGGTACGGGATTATAGGACTAAACACAGGAGAACACAGCCAAGTTGGCATAAGAAGCAGCTGGAATCCCAGAAGTGTCCCTGGTGTCCAATAATTCTACCTCCTCACCACAAGAAGACAGGTTCCCTCTTCTGATGGACTAAACAAGAAGAAACAAGAAGAACTTTGCAGAACCTTCAGAAAACAAAAAAGAACTACAGGAAGTTTAAAAAGGTAGAAAATAAAAAAAGATAAAATTAAAGGAACAACCTATAAAGTCCAATATCCTAGTAATATGAATTCCAAATAAATGAATATTTCTCAGTAAAACCCCACTGAATGTTCAGCTCAATTTTTTTAAAAGTCTGCAAGCCAAACAAAAAATAAAATCCAAGATACTTTTCAAGAGAAACATCAGATTACCTACAAAGAATCAGAATTCAAAATAGAATTAGAATGGTTATCAATCCTAGAGGCTATAAAAATAGGTCAATGGAATGATACCTTCAAAGTTTGTTTTTTTGTTGTTGTTTGGGTTGTTGTTCTTTTCTGACACAGGATCTCACTCTGTCACCCAGGCTGGATTACAGAGGTATGATCCCAGCTCACTGCGGCCTCGACCTCCTGGGCTCAAGCAATCCTTCCACCTCAGCCTCCTAAGAAGCTGGAACTACAGGTGTGCACCACCATGCCCAGCAAATTTTTGTATTTTCTGTAGAGACAGGATTTTGCTATGTTGCCCAGGCTGGTCTCAAACTCCTGGACTCATGATTTTCCCGCCTTGACCTCTCAAAACACTAGGATTACAGGTGTGAGGCACTGCACCCAGTCAATACTTTCAAAGTTTTTGAAAAAAAATTATTTCCTATGTTGAAGACTATACTCAGCCAAATTATCAATCAAGTGTAAAGATTATATCTATTTTTCAAACACTCGAGATCTCATTCTAAGGAGACTACTTAAAGTCAGCTTCCATGAAGAAAAAAGATGTGGGATACTGAAACGGAGATGATGGAGGAGAGAGGCCAAGAGAAACCACAGGAAGCTGCTGAGGGAGAGTCACAGACAACTGCTCTGAAGAACTCAGACACCCAACCAGTCCAGAGAGCAGAGAGAGCCACCAAGACTGCACCAAGACAGAGAGAAATTTTACATATGTGGCCAAGTTTAAGGATGAATTAGGGATATATACACAAAACTAAACAAGAGACAAAATAGGGTGACTATACCGACCCCAGAGAAAAGAAAACTGAGGATGAAACTACAGTTCAGTACATAATTAGATGTGGATAATATTGACACAGCAGTCATAGTCACTAAACTCTGATTATCCATTTCAATAAAAATCATGATATAACTATTTGGAAAAGCAAGGAGCAGAGAAGTATGTATGTGAGAGAAATCGTCACTTTCCTTAATAAGAGTCACTTCTTTATCTAAAATTCAAAAGCTAAGAAGTAATGAAATATGAAATAGGCTCTTATGTACAGAAATAGAAGAAGGCTCACTTCAACCAGTTGCCTTTGGGAGGTGAGAGGGGGAGGAGGAATGAGGCGGCAGAAGTGCACAGGCTACACAACACTTTGTAAACATTCAGGCTATGTAGATATTTAATTTTAAAAATGGTTTTAAAGTTGGGCTCGGTGACTCAGCCTGTAATCCCGCGCCTTTGGGAGGCTGAGGTGAGTGGACTGCCTGAGCCCGTGGGTTCGAGACCCGCCTGGGCAACTTGGTGAGCCCTCATCTCTACAATAAATCAAAA